AATTGAAGGGGGAAAAAAAGAAACATGCCAAAGAGATTTACTCTAGGATAAATGGAAGACTAACTAGAGTTGTGTTCGATGACAAATGAATTATAAGTAAATGTCATCATATTTACTTTTTTAACTACTTATATGATACATGAAATATTTGTTCAGGCACCAAATATGAATATTGAATCTATTTTTAAACTGAATTAAAAAGTCAAAATAATTATTTGTATATTCCAAAATGACGCTAGTATAAAGTAAACAAAATATTATTAATCTTTCTTACACCATCAGTTTTGGGTGGATAACAATTATATAAAATTTAAATTTGAAATCTAACTTTTGCACATGCATTATGAACCCAACGGGCGATAATGTATACATTGTCAATATATATAAGATTTATTCGAAAAAAATAAAAAAAAAACCTATTGAAGGCTCACTAAACACCAATAAAAATGTATAAAACAAACTTCGTTCATCTTATAACAATATCACTAACTCCATCGTTGCCCATTAAAATGCATTTAAGAAATTTTAAATTTTGATATTTAAAATGAACATGAAAGTCATCAGAAATTTTTTTTTTTTTTGTGAGAAACAAATTTCCTTTCAATGACCTTGATACATCAAAATGGGAAAAATATTTTTCATATTAGGATTAATTTGTCCTTACACTATTAATGTATACACTGACGGGTTTGAATAAATATTATATAATCTGAATTTGAATTAAAACATCAGTTTTGATGTATGTGGCATGCGATTACACCCGCTACTGTATAAACTGCCGATGTATAAAATATTTACCCTTCAGATTATACATATATGTATCCATGCATGCATATATGCATCAGTTGACGGTGGATTTTGCTTTTATTCCTTATATGTCGAAGCTATTGGATGTTATTAGTGAACCAAATTATTATTATATTATTATTTGATCAAAATAATTATTATTATTTTTAAGACGATGTTATTTACACTCTAATTATGTTATTTACGTTCTCATTGTCTCATTTTCATCTGACTACTAAAGCTAGCCCATAGGCAAGGAAACGAAATTAAGATAGGAGCAATACGGTTTCATTAAAATGAAAATGGCATAGCGGGAGTGTAAATAATATATTTTAAAATATATATTAGCCTGTGTTCAAAATTATAGCTAATTGATCATATTATTCAAAATTGCAAACTTAAAGCTACTGGTACTTGCTTCTTTCTTTGTTTGCTGGGAAGTGATAAACAAACTAAAGAAATAGTGTAGAAGGTTACAATTTAATAGTACGCGAAGTCGACGAGAACCCAAGGCAACTACTACAACCTCTTGATATTCTAACGAGGCAAACATTTTGACAGTAATAGGACACTCTAATATCTTTCCAGAGCATAAGAAAACAGGAACACTATTTTTTTTTTTCCAAACGATAAAAGAAGGAACACTAATTACCGGTACATGATAAGATGAATATTTTGGCTTGTACCAGTTAGGGCTGCAAACGAGTCGAGTTGAGTCGAGTTTTGAGCTAATCGAGCCGAGTTTCGATTAAATTTTACCAAATTCGAACTCGACGAGCCAACAATTTTCGAGCTCGAGCTTGAAAAAAAATAAAAAATAAAAAATTTATTTTTTAAAAAATAAATAAAATAATATTTTTTTTCTGAATAAATAATAAAATATTAAGGATATATACGTAATTTTACTATAAAAATAAAAAATAAAAAATAAATATATAATATACGTAATTTTGTTATTAAATAAAAAATATATATATATATATATATTCAAACTCGCGAGCTAACGAGCTTAATATTCTTAATCCGAGTTTGACTCGAACCGGCTCGAGCTCGATTAATATCGAATTCGATTCGAGCCGCTCGCGAGCGGTTCGATTCGTTTGCAGCTCTAGTACCAGCACTAGCAGGCACAAGATTATGCAATCGGAAATAATACATTAACGGATACTCCCATTACGAGTTATAGCAGTGAATAAATGAGCAGGTAATCGTTAACCACCAACAACAAATCGATTTAGGTTGATGTTGACACCGTAAGAGTTTCGGCATCACTTGAAACAGTGGGACCGCACTGAAACACTTTGCCAATTCTCTCAATCGGCACCACAGGCAGGCACTGCAACACCGTGTAACCCCTCTGCGCCGTGTATGCCACGGCTTCATTGTATTTCTCGCACCAATAAGCAGCCGTGGGGATAATCATTTGAACCACTTGAGGGAATAGAGGGTGCTGGTTCAGCGAGCGCCAAGCCGACACCGGATACCGCTCAGCTAGCGGCTCACACTTGAAATAGAATTCCTTGGTTGTCGGTTCGTACGCATTATTAAGCGTCTAGGCAATGCTTTTAGCACCGTCCACCAAGCCGACCAGCTGCAACTCGGAGGCGACATCTCTAGCCACCTCAGGGGCCCTCTGAGCTGCCAAGAACAGTTGATGTGAGAATTGCTTCAGGACCGGGATCGGGTGTACATGACGGTCTAACTCGTTAATCGATTCGTCGACCTACAAATCACGTGAGTCAACGGTGAGATGAGTTGCACGTGCTGATGGCTGTGGGGGAATGAAGAAATCAGGAAAAGGAAAGCCATCACGTTTCATGTGACTACTGACTTTTGAGGAAGAAGATAACGAAAAAAAGAAGAAGATGAAGAAGAAAAACCTTGCAATCTACAAGCTTGAGAAGCTCAAGGGGACGTTGCGAAACTTGCGGTAGATAGGTCCAATGATGGTTCTGACAGTTGCTTCCACAGTTTTAACGTCCGATTTCAAAGGACCGGAGCTTTCTTTCGCGTAGTCGTAGAGTGATGAGAAACAAATGATCATGTAGATTGCTCCGACTCGGACGAAATCAAGATACTTGAGCTTTTTCTTCTCGCATCCTCCCTCAACGGTAGGGTTCATTTGGGAGTTGAGGATTTGGACAGGAAAAAAAAAAAGGAAAGAAAAGAAAGTTTAATTTTTGTTTTGTTTGTGAGTTTTTAGTAAGGGAGAAAAACAAGAAAATGGGAGGATAAATAGTAGGCAAAATTTTTCTTCCCAAATTGGAGAGGAAGTTGAAGGAAACTTATGAAAATTTTTAATATATTTGTTTTATCCTTAAAAATAACTTAAATAAATATTTAATGACTTTCATATCGAAAATCATTTTATGAATTCTCAGAACTCCTTTTCATGAATTCTCAGAACTCCCAGACAACGTAATAATCCATTCTCTTTTCTTATTTTCTGTCATAATTTAAATTTTCTCTTCTTCTCTTTCTATCCTAAACTCCCAAACTAAGCCTTAATGAATTCGATTCACAGAATTAGCATGTCAAGGGCTTGCATATGATTTGCGGGGTATAAAAGTTTAAAATAAATAAATAAATAAAAGGACGTCAATAAGGTCAAACGCTTTAGTGGCAACCGACAAGACATCTAAACTCCATAAAAAATGGTCAATTAAGACCGTCACATGTTGTAACAAGTTTTTAGTGAAAGGTAAGGATTGAATCCTTAAAAGTTTGGTGATGACCAAAAAATAAATATTCATAGTAAAAAGTTTTTCATATAAACTATTAAAGTAAAATATTTCAAAAACACTTTATAAAATATCTAATTCAAACACAATCTTGATCTTTTTCAACTATAGTTATAAGAACTTGTTAAAAATAAAAATTGTTAAAACACCTTGAGGATTAGTGATATTTTCACAAACAAAATTTTTAAATATAATGTTACAATAACATACTCTTAGAACACTCCAAAAATCACAGTATCAATATAAATATCAAATACAACTAACAAATAAATAATTAAAAAATCCCACCACCTTTATCTTTTCCGGTCATCACACATTACCACCACAAACCATTATTATCTCTCATCTCATTCACCAATAACACTGTATCTTCTCTGTCCCTTCTTCTTTCCTCCCTTCTCTTTCTCCTTCTCTGTCTCTTTTGGTCACGGCTAGAGGCTCTGACCGGAGAGGAGAAAGTAGGCAGGAAAAGGGAAAAGAATGGAGGGGATGAAAGAGGATGAGGAAGAGGGAAGTGGAGACATAGGACGGGGAAAAAACACAAAGTAAAAGTACATAAAACGGCGATATGGGGACAGGGGAACATAAGTGGAATACCTATGGTTGGTGTCAATTTACGTTTTTGACCAAGCGAACCACAAGTGTGAGGGCATAAGTGGATATATGAAAACGACGTGGGAGTCATGTGAATTACATGAGGCGTAAGTTTTTTTTTCCTTAAACAAATTTCCTTTTTTATTTTTCTTTCTCTCCCCATGCCCTTCTATCTTAACCATCAATTTCAAAATTGGAATCATGAATTTGATAATAGAAAGAAACTGTAAGAGTACTCCCCTAGTGGCTAAATGGGTGTAAGTTGAATTTGGCAAAATAAATAAATAATATTAATGGCGTCTAAAAATTCATACAAGGAAAACACAAATACATCTAGAAAGTAAATTATTTCGGATAAATTTTTGAAAAAATATTATAATATTTTTTTATATGACGTATGTAAGATAAATGACTTGTTTGAGATTGCAATAACTCGTTAAAAAAAAAATACTCTACTTAACAGAGTTTTTAATAAAAGCATTTATTAAATGTTTAAACGCCTTTAAATATATTGTTTAAATACATTGTTCAATAAGTACTTATTGAATTGGATAATATATAATTTAAAATTTTAAAAATATATTTATCTTTTTATTTAATTCATGATATAATGATTAAATTTAATATTTTACTTTTTTAAACATAAAAACTATTGCCAAAGTTTTGAATTTGAGTTTTTATTAAAAGTTTTTTTAACACAAAAAGTAATTTATGGATTAATATTTACCAAATGGCTAAAAAGTGGTTTTAGCGCTAAAAAAAGCATTTTTATCAAAAGACCTCAAATAGGATCAAAATCATCATTGGAAAAATATATTCACGATACAAATAAATAAATTATTTGTGTCAATAACCCTATTCCAATCAAACTCCGGGTTTTTTTAACAGCGTTATCAAGTCGTTAGGGTGCCTGAGGCGGAGGAGCAAGTGCAGGGGATCCATCGGTGGGAGACCCTTAGAACCTAGCTAAGATGGAAGAGGAGGTGAGGATGCTTCTCCAGGACGCTTTTGGCGAATCATCGGATGGCGAAGGCGGCGATGAAGCACAAGAAAGGAAGTCCCAAGATTTGAACAAGCTCTCGATTTTTGGTGAAATCCAAAACTGGGAAAGAATTGACCAAATTAAGGGCTTATGGTTATGCAGGGACTTCCTATCTCCCGATCAACAATCTTCGCTGCTCTCCGCAATCCAAAAAGGCACTTCTATCAATTTGTAAAAACCTTTCTAACTTAACTGCTTTTATTTGGTTGTTGCGTACTAAGATGATTGTTAGCCGCTCGAAAAACTGGTGATGGCATGTGAGCTTTCGTATATTTTTTTTTCCTTGAGTCCTAATACAATTTTTATGTTTCTTTAGAGTCGAATCAAATTAAATTTGTTTGAGTTTGATTAAATGCTTATTAAATATTTCTCAAAGGATGATTGATAAAATCACAAAATAATAATTGAAGAGGGCTCTCATGCAAGTGTTATTTGTGGCTGCAGAAGGATGGTTGAGTGAATTCTCTGGAAATCAGGTATTAACACTTACTGCCCCTTAGTTCTTGGAAATGTTGAGTTGAATGTTCTGTAATCGTCGCTGCCCGTTGACGGCTCTTGGATTCTCACTTCCACTGGTTATTGCGAATTTGTAGAAATCTGGTGCTAAATGGAAGACCACACCTGTTTATTTTCTTGTTTTATTTATTTGGATGAATTTTAGAAGAATTGAAATCGATCATACCCGTCATGCCTTAAAACACTTCAGAATTTGATCTTTTGTCAACCGACTGCACATTGTTATTTGTAAGCTAATCCGTTTCACATTACTCTCCTTCACAATCGCTCTATTAATGTTTCAGCATATATGCATTTTCTTTGTCGTTGAAGGCCATGAGATTTGGAAATCTTCCCCAATGGGCCATTGAACTTTCCAACTCCATTAAGGAGACTGTTTTCGTCAGTCATTATCTCTCTGAATCCAGGAACTTACCAACTCGTGACAAAGGTAAAGAGGCCTACCCCCTTCCACCAGAATTGTTATGGAGGGAACCACTATTTGATCAACTTATTGCGAACACATACCAACCAGGTGAGGTGCGACATACTCTTAACTCAATTCCTTTATTCGCTCAGGAAATTGGTATGAATATAAACTTGACGCACACACACACACACGCATATGTATGTATATGTGTGTGTATAAACTCTCTGCATAACTCCTTTCCATGCTTGGCAAGTTCATGTCTCTGGTTTGGCTCCATGATGATTGTAGTAATACAACCAAAAGCACCTTGGATTACTGCTGAGTTGCCTTTCTTGATAAAATTCTTTCCATTCTCTGGTCCCTTGGAGTTTTGCTCCTTGGGCTATTATAAGTGAACTTGCTGGCAGTTCCTCATTTTTCCTTTTTTTTTTTTTTTTTTGCCTTTAATCGTTTCAATTGTTAATTGGTCAAGAAAAATCAGTTACCATGCACTAGGTGATTTTCTTGCTATTAATATTTATTTCCCTGTGTCCGTCTTCTTAAGACCATTGGAAACAGACCACTTTGATCCTACTGGCATGCAGGGAATTTGTGCGCATGTTGATCTGATGCGCTTTGATGATGGAATTGCCATTCTTTCTTTGGAATCATCCTGTGTCATGCACTTTAGTCTAGTTGAGGATGAGTTATCTGATTATAGAGAGGAGAAGGCGGGCAAAAATAGTTCTTCTGCAAAGATCCCTGTGCTTTTAACCGAAGGATCGTTGGTCCTAATGTGGGGAGAAGCACGCTACTTTTGGAAGCATGAGATTAATAGGAAGCCTGGTTTTCAGAAGTGGATGGGGCAAGAAATTGATCAAAGAAAGCGAACCTCTATTACATTGAGGAAGCTTTGCTAAACTACACCATATTCCGTGGTACAATATTATTGTTACAACATAATCTACTCTTTTCTATCTCGACTGCAGATAACTCTTTTCAGTACAATATTATTGTTACAATTAATAATCCTCTACTGAAAAAAAAAAAAAGGGAATAGAGATGGGGGAAAGGCGGATGGGGGTGTGTGCTTTTCTATCTTTTTTTTTTTTTTTTTTCAAGTACAATATTGTTACAATTAATTCTATACTGAGAAAAAGGAACTTAGTCCTTCCTCAACTGACCAACCGAGGATCAAGTTATCAGTTTGATGTCGAAGCGTTACTCATAACAGCCATTGTAATTAACGTGAAAATGGGGAAGCGCATATGCCTATACAAAAGAACCATATAAAATTCCTAATTTGAGTCTCCGGGATAAAAACCTGGAACAGGAATTTCTTTCCACCCCACTCTGGCCAAACAAGTAGCAAAAGGAATAAAAGCACGCAACAAAATTTGAAGTCCGTGCAAAACATATTACTAATCAGTGCTGGCATGAGATCGTGCAGTCCACAAACTTCTCGCAGCAACCAGAGGGCAAAAGTGAGAGATACAAGGGGAGGAAAAAGAAGTCTGTCTCAATCTGAGAAAGTTATGTTACATCTGTATGCACCCGAAAAGGAAATTAAGAAGGGAGGCCAGAAAAGAAAAGAAAAGAAAAGATGTTGTCTATCACACGAGGGGTAATACAAGCACAATATTTGCCAGTGACAAAATCAAAGCCCATAACAGGCAAGGCTTCACTAGATCGGCAGCGATGGGATTCATGGTTCGAAAGATCCTGGCGCACCCAACCAAAGCCCCAAACAAAGCGACGCAAAGCACCAAGCCCATCCTACTGGCTCCGGCCTGAAAAACGATCGGATCCCAAGCAAGGCTCAAGGAGAGCTGGCCCAAGTACAGCAGCAGCGCCGTTGGGTTCCTGTGAAACCCGCCTTCGGCCCAAACAAGCCATGCCGACAGGCCCATAAGGAAAGCAGAGGCCAGGCATGCCGAGTGCAAGGCCCACAGAGGAGGAGACCAGAAGGGCTTTTTCATGGTGGCATACTGAAGACTAGAGCCGAAAAGAGAAATGTCCAACAGGGTTAAAGAAAGTGGGAGAGCAAGTGCAAGGCCCAGTGAGCGAAGGCCGCGCTTGGCCATGGCTGTTCTCTTCTTCTGGTGTCTTCTTGTCGCGGTGGTGCCGGTATCCTTTGGGGGCTGTATCTCCTCTTCTGCTTCTTCATCTCTGGTTCTGTGTTTCAGTTCCTGGGAAGCCATGACGACTACCGGCGTTGTGTTTGTTTGATTTAGACGAGAGAGAGAGAGAGACTGAATTTTTGGGAAAAAAAAAAAAAAGAAGAGTGGGTGCAGAGCTTTTTCAGGTGAAGAATTTATGGAGCAAAGCGAGTTTTTCTGTGGTTTGTTGTGGGGAGAAGGAGGACAGATGGCGGAAACGGATGATGAATTTAATTGAGCAGAGTACACGTGGGCCAAAATTTATCGCCAGCGCTGCATGAGGTATTAGTGATCTCTTTTGCTATCTTGGCACCTCTCTGCTGACAAACATTACATCATCATTCCGAGTCAACAATTACCACCACCATGGCTCTGCTTGCCTCTATTACCATTCTCTCCGTCTCCTCTCATGAAATTTGTTACTTTTTCTTGTTTTAAAATTAATTATCCGAATCCACCCTTTCTTTTTAATCAAATCTTATCTCTGTTCTTTACGTCAGTCACTCGTCATTTATCTATCATAATTATCAATACAAGAATGATCCGTCAGTAAAGATATAAAAAATAAATAAATAAAAATTCTCTTTTCTCTTAATATTAAAATTATACACTTTTTTTTTAAATGACAAATATTTTATGGGACAAAGAAAATATATTACGTTTTGATTTGATGGGCTAACTCAAGAATGATTTGAAATTGAAGGAATAATTGTATTGTTCGAATGTGACTAGCATAAAAATGATCGAAGTTCATTTTGGGAATTGAGGTTAGATGAAATCGAACGCCTATTTCTTTCTTTCTTTCTTTTTTTTGAAGAAAAAAAAAAAGAGAACAAAAACACATGTAAGCATTAGGAAAGGTGAAGAAGATTCACTGTTTATTATTACCTTGACCTGATGAAAAATTAGATTTAGCTGGGAAAAAAAGAGCAAAATGGTCATTTGGAAATATGATGATCATTGACCAACAGTAACTTTTTCTTTCACACAAAAAACTGAAAAAGAAGGGGGAAAAAAAAAAGGAAGAGGTGGGGTGGAGGGTGGAGGGAGGAGGGAGGGAGCGAGAGAGAGAGAGGGAGAGATTTGACACACTCATCTACAAAACGACGACGCAGGCAAACAGGCGTTTTCCACGCAGAAGACGCAACTCAAAATACGCCTTTAGTCCAAACTTAACGAAAGCGTGCCACAGACGCAGAGACCCAGACAGGTGACTACTGATAGGGCTGCCGGACGCCGTCGAACCGTTTGAGCTTTAAAAAAAAACCTACCCAATTTAGCAGGCGAAGAAATTTTAAAAAAAAAAAAAAAAGCGCTCGCTGACAGAGGCCAACCCAATGGCGCTCCGATCGCCCCCTAAATCCAAGGCCATACAAAAACCCGGTTCGACGTTCCAGAAACTCCTCAAAACCCCGCAAGTACCTTTTGCGTTGGCTTTGCTCTTCGCCGATGCCATCCTGGTCGGACTCATTATCGCCTATGTTCCCTGTAAATACCAAATTATCTCTGCTATCTTTACTTTTATTTTGAGCAGTAGATTTAGTAATGGAGGGGGTTTTCTTTTTGCAAATTTCCAGATACGAAGATTGATTGGGACGCCTACATGTCACAGGTGGGTGGACCTGTGACTTCTATGGACTCCATTCTTACTCAGAATGATGTGATCATTTTACTTCCTGACCTTCAATTCATGTTTATTTTCGTTAAATACGCATGTGCACATTTTTCATGGGGAGCAGGTCACTGGGTTTCTTGAAGGAGAGAGAGATTATGGAAACTTGAAAGGGGACACTGGCCCTCTGGTTTATCCTGCGGGCTTTCTTTACATATATTCTGCCCTCCAACATGTTACCCGCGGTCAGGTTTATCCTGCTCAGGTATCACTTCTACCTTATTCTTAGCTGTCTTGATACTGAAACTTGTTAGTTTTAGCTGCTTTTCGGTATGATTGCCGTGAAGTCAGTGAATTTGCTGTTACTAATTTCTAGTACAAGTAAGCTCCGGAACCGGAAGAACTATCACATCCAATTATCTCATGTCTTTTATGTGTTGATTGTCTTCTACTTCAAAGTCTTACCGATTTTGCTCTTCCATGTCAGTGCAGATTCTCTTTGGTCTTCTCTACATTGTGAATCTTGCAATCGTGTTGTCCATCTACGTGAAGACCAGCGTGGTATGATAACAAAATCCTTTCGATTGCTGAAATTTATGGATAGTGTGCCCACAATTTCAAAAAAAATGAACACTCTCCTAATGCACGTGCCTGATGGAAATTTTAAGATTTGCATCATAAAATGGCTTAGGAATCCAACGGAACCAATATATTCTGTAAGGGACTGTGATATCTGTAAACAGACATCTAGAATGTAAAGATTGATGCTTATCAGCTGAACTTTACTAATGTTGCAGTTCATGGCTTTCTTTTCATTTCTTTTGCCTGATTTTCAAATTCGTGGTCAACGTTCTCATTATTTATTCAAATGCAATGCTGCTGCAGGTCCCTTGGTGGGCACTTTCCCTACTCGCTTTGTCTAAGAGGGTTCATTCTATCTTTGTACTTCGCTTATTCAATGACTGTTTTGCCACGACTTTCCTTCATGCTGCTTTGTTTTTCCTACTCAAACAAAAGTGGCATCTAGGTCTGATTATTTTCAGGTAGAGTTCACAGGCTTCTTTCTTGGTGGTTTCTGCAAGTGTTTCCTTATACATTAAGTACTTCTTCGTTAAGATGGGCACGATTCTGTTCTTGTTAGTACAGCGCAGCTGTTTCTGTAAAGATGAATGTGCTTCTTTATGCTCCTGCTTTGTTAATCCTCATGTTGCAGGTATACTAGCTTTGGCCATGTTTATTGAAAGTTTGGATCTGGTGAAAGCATTTGTAGAGCACATTTTTATTGCTGCTTTTGTTAAACTTAAAATGCAGGCTATGGATGTTTTTGGAGTAATATCTGCTTTAGCAGGTGCAGCATTAGTACAGGTGCTTATTGTTAAACTATGTTTACCTGGATATACAAGATGTAGTCGAATGTTCTTTAAATTTATATGGCTAGAAAAGATTATTTAGATATTTATTCATCTGTTAATCGTTTTCCATGTTAGGTGAGTTGGATTTTGACTTCAGTCAATTAAACATGGAGGTCTCTCCAGCTGAAATCTGCATATGCTTCTGTTTTTCACTGAGAGATGGTTCTGCAGATACTCTTGGGGCTCCCATTTTTATTAACGCATCCAGTTGCATATCTTTCAAAAGCTTTTAACCTGGGACGTGTCTTCATCCACTTCTGGTAATTCTTTCAAATTCATGAAATTCATCAAAAAGGAGGGAAGTAGCATGCCCTTATTCCTAATGTTTGCTGAGATTAATCTTATTTTCTATGTGTTATATTTAGCTTGGCCTTTCACACAATTAAGAAAGCATTTGTTTTTTGTGATGGCCATGTATCTAGGTTCTAAATAATTGTTTATTTCATGGGTTTGTGTTTGTGAAGTTTTATTTTGTTATTTTCTCTCATCTTGCTGGCATTCATAGAATGCTGAATACAAGTTCTCTTTGACTTGGTCTACTAATAGAATGTTGATTGGAAACTAACTATGTCTTTGTCACAGGTCTGTTAATTTCAAATTCGTTCCTGAACCAACATTTATATCAAGAGAATTTGCTGTTGCTCTGCTGGTTGCTCATCTTGGTTTGCTTACTGTTTTTGCCCATTATAGATGGTGCAGGTGAGTACGGTTCTTGTAAAATTGCCTTTACTGTTAATGGATCCGTAGGCACGCATTGAAGGATATCTTTGGCCAGTACTTTTGAATTCTCTTGTCCAGTATAATGAAAACCAAATAAGCTTG